GGTTCAAGACTTCAGAATATAGAGTATTTAAGCTATTCTATATCCTATTTATAGGAGATCTTAAAAGAAATATACAAAATTCTAAGGTTTTCCAAAAGGGTTTCTGGACAACCCATCAACGCAAATATGCCTTTTCGATTTTTTCGATCTTATAATCCCATTTAGCAGAGAAAATCGACCATATTCTGAAGTCTTGAACCCGTTCTGATGTTTATTGAGTGAATGGTGAATTGTTTAATAGGTGAAAAATAGCCTGAAAACTCAAATTGCGCGAAACTCGCTTTTCGGTAGTCTTTTAGAACTTTTTCTAAAAACAAATATTGCCAAAAGACTCCGCATGATCGATTACCTATAGTCCATCCGTTTTCAAGACTACCAATAGTCACCGAGTGCCAGTCCTGGAACTCGCAAGAAATCCGATATAACACCCGAGCCGCGGAAAATCAAAGTCTCACTTGACTCTCATTTTGAAGAGGATACCTTGGACTATCATAGCATGGAAGAAAATCAATACAATCCCATTGAAAAGTTTTACACACGGCCTGGTTTTCCAAAGATCATGTTTCTCTTTAGTTTTTAGTAAAAGCCGTTTTTCTCAGCAAGGAAAACGAATTTTGAAAAAAACTCCACATACTTTTAAAGCTGACGTGTTAACCGATCTGATCGCCAAAAATAAATTCCACTGAAATTTTGCATTTTTTTCCACCTTATGTTTCTCGCAACTATGTTTTTTAGCTTTGATCGAAAAACATTTGTTTCTTACTAGGCCCATTTTTCTGTTAAATTTTCACTCAAGTTTCACAAGTTTTTCTGGCTAATTACGAGAGCTGGAATAAAAATATTTATGCGGTTAGACAGCCCATATTTCAGAATATATCAAACGGTCGTCAACTCTTGAAAAGTCGCACTTTCAAAATTCCACCTGATGTCCACGTGGTTGCACACTGTGCGTTTACCGTTTTACAAGGCTAGAAGTAAATGAAAGCATAGGATTTTGGTGGGCGTACATTTATGACACATATCTGCCTATCGATACAGGAAAAGGTTAACGAAACTGTTTGAGAAGGGATACGTTATTTGATAGAAACTTATTACTTAGCTTTGGAAAATTCAAAGCATACGTGATTGACTGTTTTCAGATTTTATCCTTTAACATAACGAAATGGGTAGCTTATAGACTCGACTTATTTTATTACTATTCTTATAGTCAAAGTAGGGAAGATAACTTAATTTTATTTTTATCACTCATCTCTAATCGCCGTTTGATCAGCAAATTACCTTGTACCCATTTTATTTAGGATCCATATTTTCGAATGGCACGTGGTGTAGTACAAAGATTAAATTTTCCAAAACCTTCACTTATACATTCAACGTTTCTTCCAGCATTACAAGGTGCCCAATCTAAAATGGGTGCATCAGATGTAAATTCAGCAATATATTTAACCGATACACCAAACGAAATTGAAGATAAGGTAACCAAAAAGAAACGCAAATAAGCCAGTTTCTCTGTTTTTAATTTAGAATACTGTATTGAAATTTTATTATTTAGGTCATTAACCATGCGTATAGCAGTGGTAGAGACACATTAAAAGAACATCGTGAAAA